GGCGGCCCCCCTCCTCCACCCCCAGCGCAGCTCCGGCAGCGGGCGCGGGGCCTCCTGGCTTCGCGCTCTGACCAGGGGTGCCCCCCTTTCGAGCGCGCGGGAACCCGAGGAAAAGAGTTAGCCACGTTCAAGCAGGGAGCAGCGGAGGCCTTTGGGCCTCCCGGGACTCTTCAAAACCGAAAACAATTCATTGCCCTTTGCCTTTGCAAGCTCAGCCTCCTAAACCTATTTCGCTTTAGAGTCCCCATTTCCATTCAGGCGTAAGGGAGCGTCCGCGTTGCCTGGAGACTAGCACTGCCTGGATCCGGGTTCAATGCCCAGGGTCTCAGGCCTTGGGGAAGCCCCAAGACCCTAAGAGCGCCTCATTTTAAAATGAGAATATGCCCGCCGGTTACTCCTTAGGTGGTGACAAAATTAAATGAGATAGTGCATACCAAGTACTGAGAACATATTAACGATCGATGAATGTTAGTTGCTGTCATTTTTAATGTCGTCTTGATGGAAAAGGATTTGAATACTAACTCTGTCACTAACTCACTGAGCACCCAGTGGATCGTGTGACTGCTGACCCTTAGTTTTTCCCTCTACAAGATAGGGGCCAGTCTCTTCTTTTTAGGGGTGCTACATGCCGGTGACACCCCATAAAAGCAGACGCATGCCCAAGCGGAGGTGGAGGGTGGATATTCTCCAGGGTCTCCAGAGTCTCAGGAGCACGCAGTTTGGCTTGTGGCGTACCCCACGTTCCCTTAGAAACCCGATGACTGAACCCACACAAAGTCCTTGGGGTACCAGGCAGGGAGCGCTCCCTGGCGGCAGTGCCCGCGCTTTGGCGCCCGCCCGGGACCCACCAGAGAACAGAGGGCCGCAGGTGCCTAGGTTACCAGTGGTTATAAATAGTTTGCATCGTCGGAGAAACTAGGGCGCCTTGGGGCGACTCTTTGGGGTCAAGGGACGTTAACAGAAGAAAGAGGAGAATTACACTGATCCAGACTATCCTTACTCTCACCTGTCCCACGGCCCCAACCTGTTCAGCCTCCAGCGTCATTCACCTCCTCCCAGTTTTCTGACTCCGCCCTCAAACTCTGTCGTCTTTTTCCCATGACAGCCCAAGGGCGCCTGTGAACACTGAGTCAGGTCATGTCCCTCTTCTGCTTAAATCCTTCTCTGGCTCCACCTTCATCAAAGTAAAAATCAAAGTCATACCCGTAGTGCACAAGGCCCTGCAAGATTTGCCCTCTTCGCCTTCCCTCACACCTCTCCTCCCAAACTCTCTCTTTGCTCACACCCTCCAGCTACACAAGTTCTCCTTGAATATTGAGAAATTTAATTAGAGAAAATTTTAAGCTAGTCCGTTTACTCTCCATTTACAAATGAAGCTCAGAAAAAAGAGCTCTCCACCCCACCCCCCATTTATGGAGCCAGAATGTTTATGGCCCCTGTCCCAAGGGACTTGGTGACTTCCTCTAATCTGCAGTCCCCTACTTATGGATGAGAGAATGTGGAGAAGCAAGGCTCCAAGCCAGCCTGGGGACTGGGCTGCCTTATCCAGGGATGAGGCCACTGTTGCCTGCCAGATTCCAGGATGCCTCTCCGGATGGAGCTGGGGATCCTGGCCAAATTTTCACTCCAACCTTCTGGCATTCTTTTACTCAGTAAATATTTATTGATGACCACTGGGGATTTTGGTGGCACTGGCAACAGAGTAGCACTCCGGACTTGAAGTGAGGAGAGCAAGGACCAATTGTACAACCTCAACAAAATATGATAGCTACACAGGCGCCTCTCTGTAGCTGCTCTGGTCTCTCTTCCATTCCCTCTAAGGCCTTGGAAATTCTAAATTGCCTCCTACTTTTGCCTCCTGGAAACTGTCCTGAGTTCTCTAGATCTCTTCCCTCACCTGTCAGGTCTACCTGTCAAACTTCTGCCCACCTATCCAGCCATATCCCCCCGCACTCCCCTTACTCCCACTCAGTGACACTGGCTTTCATTTTCCTCATATAGACTAACTTCACGTTCAACCACAGGCCCTTTGCACTGGAGTGCCTTTCCATCACATTTCTTCAAAGTTGGTCTTTTTTGATCATTTAGGTCTCCATTTAAATATCACCTTCTCCGAGAGCTTTCCCACTGTACCTCCACACTCTGTTATTTATTTTCAGTGTCATTTATTTTTGAAATTGCCCCATGTCTGGCCAATGTTCATTCAATCTTTGTGAAATGAATGTGTGGACACCATGGTCCAGGCCTGTGGCAGTCACCCCCCTGTGGAGGAGGCAGAAGGGCTGGCACTGAAATTAGGTTGCAAAGGACAAACTAGGAAATTACAATATGGACAAAGAGAAAAAGGGCATTTGGGGGAAAGGACAGCAGAGGCAAAGACCTAGAGGTAGCAGAGAGAGAACCTGCTTTGTTCCAATTCCTCTGCTCTTATCTCCCCTAGTCAACATCAAGCCATTCTGGTCATATGGCCCCTTTGTTGTTCCACAGAGATGCTGGGCCTTTGCACTGGCTATTATTCTCCTTGCTTGCAATGTTTCTCCACATTTTGGTGGAGAATTATTTCTAGCTTTGTTCAAATATCATGTTAGAAAAGTCTTCCCTGATTGCATAATGAGCCCACCTGGCCCCCTTGCATAGCTTGATTTTTATTCCTTGCAAATTTCTTTCTTTCTTTCATTCTTTTTTAAAGATTTACTTATTTATGTGTTCAAGAACTGGAGTATAGGCCAGAGGTGTGGGGGGTGAGAGGATTCACCAGAAACAGCGAGGAGCAGAACAGGCAGATGTACTGAAATACACTGCTGAGGGGAGCAGTGGGTGAAACAGGAGAGGTCTGCTGTGCCATGGGGGTCACCTCCTCTCTGGGGCTGTGGATATCTCATAGTGCTGCATTTTTACCAATTGAGCCACCAAGGAGGGACCTCCTTGCAAATCTAAATAAATTTTTATTCTACTATTATCTTTCTTGCCTGTATGGAACAGGACAATGTCAGCTCTCTGTGGGCAGAAATTGTTGTCTCTCTTGTTCACTGCTGGGTATGTGGTTCCTAAAATGGATCTAGCACATAGAAGGTGCTCAATAAATTGTGTTTAGTGCTCATGAAGCTACATTGAAGTGGAGAGTCACCCACTTCTTCCTGGAATTCAGACTTTAACCTTAGGATTGTGAGAACCATGGGGGAGAAGAGGAGGCAAGGAACAAGGAGTCTCTCAAAAGATAGACTCTTTACAAACTGAATTTCCACCATCAGGGGCCCGAGAAACCTGACATCAGAATAACTAAATGTTATCTGTAAGACCTCAAAAAGCAGGTCCTCCCTGGTGGCGCAGCGGGTTAAAGCACAGCACTAAGAAGCTAAAGCCACTTCCGCATGAGTTCGATTCCCGCCTGCCCCGGAAGTGACGACATGGTGCGGCAGACCTCTCCTGACCTGCCCGCTGCTCCCCTCAGCAGTGTACTTCGTTGATCTGCCTGTTCTGCTCCCCGATCTGTCTCTGGTGAATCCTCACACCCTCTGCATCTCTGGCCTGTACCCCAGTTCTGTATGAATAAAAAAAAAAAAAGACCTCAAAAAGCAAGTAAAATGCTAAAGTTCATACTATTTAGGTCACTTACTACAGAAAGTGAAATGACTTATAAAGTCTATGGATTTTATTTTATTTTTTAAAGATTTATTTATTTGTGCATACAAGAGCAAGATTATAGGTCAAAAGTAGGGAGTGTGGGGGCTGGGGTGAGAGGATTCACCAGAGACAGATTGGGGAGCAGAACAGGCAGATTGACAGAAATACACTGCTGAGGGGAGCAGCAGGTGAGGCAGGCGAGGTCTTCTGTGCCATGTGGAGCAGCTCCCTGGCTGGAATGGAAGTTGTGCTGCAGACAGCTTCATAAAGCTGCACTTTAACCCTTGAGCCACCAGGGAGACCCGATATGTGGATTTTAGAGAGTAGTGGTATAGTGACCTGGCATCAGGCTTCCTGCGTTCAAATCCTGACACCACAGTGAAACCCTGGACAAGTTACTACACTGCTCTGTGCCTCAGGGAGTGACACTTCATAGTAGCACCTACTTCATAGGGTGCTGGGAAACATATTAATCAATTCTTGTAAAGCAGAGTATAGTATAGTGATGTTTCAGTATTATTGTTTTTAGAATGTGGTTTCTGTAGTCGATGGAGGGGATGGGGTTGGGGAAGTGAACACTGAACTTTCACTTTAATTGTAATTACTTATTTTTTCATTATTGTTTTGTTTGAATTACAACTTACATAAAAAAAATAAAGTACACAAATCTTTGAAGTAGCAGTCCATAAATTTTTATATGTGCATACAGATACACCTCAGAGATATTTTGGGTTCAATTTCAGACCACTGCAATAAAGCAAATATATTGCAATAAAAGGAAAATTGAAATAAAGCAAATATTGAAAAAAAGTCACAATTTTTTTTATTTCCCAGTTTATCTAACAGTATGCTTACCAAAACAATAAATAAAATTATGTTTACAGTATACTGAAATGTGCAATAGCATTATGTCTAAAAAGACAATGTATACCTTAATTTAAAATTACTTTATTGCCAAAATGAAAAATGAAGTGAGAGCATGTTGGGGAAATGAACATATAGACTAGCTCAGTGTGGAGTTCCCAGAGACCTTCAATTTGAAAAATCACAATAACTGTGAAGTGTAATGAGGCGAAGCACAATGAAACACTTCCATGCAT